TTTGGTGTGTCCGTGAGATAGAGTTCAAAGACTCTGATGTGTATCAGGCAAAATCCTCTAAAATCCAGGCTTTCCAAGCTCACTCAGCCCAAATTCTCCATTACCCTATAACCAGTGGCCTCCAGATTCACTGACCTTCTTAAACTCCTTTTCTGATCATGCTCATTCACTGCTACATGCTTTTTACCTGTAGCTCTATTGGCCTTGAATGTTCTTTCTGTTTCCTATCTGGTAAATGCCTACTTACTCTTTTAACTTGTCCACTTTGTGAAAACATATTAAACTCAAGAGAATGTGTTGTTTCCTTCTCTTTTTTTTCTATGTTATTATTTTCTCTTTTGAAGCATTTTTATCATAGTATTATAATGATCTATTCACAGGCATCTTATCCATTAGAAAGTGTTGTAGTCATGTTTGCATCTTCCATTGCCTAGCACTTAATGGTTCTCTGGAGTTTCACCATTAGTAAGTAACTAAGCTGAGATTGACTCCCAGTCTTCTAAGTCAATATCCAGACCCATTCCCATTAAAATGGATTGCCACCCTGTCTCGGGGTTCTCTCTTCCTTTTGGGCCTGTATTCTTAGTTACCCAGCATTTTTCACTCTGGCTGTGCTTGCTATTTTGTCAAAACAAACTTGAATTCTAATCTATCAGGATTATACTCAGTGGTTTCATTGCCATTGTGATATTTTGGAAAAGGCAAAGATGTCACAATAATTTAAATCATTCATACGTAAGCATCCAGATATAATTCACACCCTGTATTTCTGGCTACAACGCATGTGAATAGGTATTTTATGCATTTTCTTTATCTATATAATCGGTCATTTTGACAAGTCTGCAAGGTGCAGACAGATTTCTTCTCCTGTGTATGTATTTTCATCCATGATACATGACCAAATGCTTTCATTTAGGAACTGGAAAATGTTGGGATTGTTAGCAGCTGAAGAAGAAACACTTAGGGATGAATGAAAGGGATAAAAATGAAGGGAGAGTAGCATGTTGCCTATACTTTATCTGGCCTCTTTAACTGAGTTTGAGTAATATTGGATTAAGATTAGAATACAGTGAAAATTTTGGTTTGGTTTTTAAATGTAGACTTATTAATAGAATATGTTATAACTATCACAAGTTGGGAAATATTTGAGTGAAAATTACTTATATTATATCCTATCATTACTAAACAGTTTTGAGGTACAGTAGGTTTTAGCCATATATGCCTTCACACACAGAGGGAAATATTGTCTGGACCCACGGAAGAAATTTGTAGCAACTAGGGAGCTACACAGTGCCTGAGACATATTGACCTCTGCCAGGCTCAAAAGTGTGTGACACAGCAGTGCAGAATACAAACACCTTACAAAGACATGCAATATATACAGATAGGTATATGAAGACATATTGAATGAACTTTTGTATTTTAATAACACTGTACATTTTTTCACCTAAAAGATGGTATTCAGATCAAATGAATATGTAACAAACTGACTTATTTAGTTTCTCAGAGTTTCAAGGTTTTAATATTTAAAATGAGAGAATAGGGCTATACGATGTAAGTATCTTGGTTTGAAATTCTATTACTCTATGAGAAAAAAATCTCGACAATTACTAAGACAATGGAGCAAACATAAACATATATTTGTCCTTTGGAAACCTTTGTGACATTTGAGAAGTCCAGCAAGGATTGTGTGTCTTGTTAAGCTTGCGATTACAAGAAGTGCAAATACTTTTAGATTTGTTTTGGCATGACATACCGTACATTTCTTTTACCAGTGTTGACTATCCACTGAAGTCTGGACTCTCAAATTCTTCAACATTCAAATTCACTGCCTGAGGAAAAACACATGGGTAGAACAGAGAATGAGACTACAGCATTTAATTATTAAATCAATACGTGTGCCTGACTTGCAGAAGCTAGGTACAGTTTAAATCTGGTTACAAGAAGTCAGTCATCCATTCTCCAAAATTCTGAAAGCGTGCACTCATACCTTTTGCATTTGAAGGCACTTGAAAGTACAACAGTCTAGTGTATAACGAATTAACTAACTAGAAAGCAAAACATTACATTTGCATTGGGCACATGATATAACCTTTTTCTTTTGAACTTTTCAAACAGTATCGTAGTATGACAGGCATTTTCCTTTTACACAGTCACAGAGCGTTCTCACAGATCCTACATAAACTCACAGAGGATGGGAGAAGGAAGTTATGTTTTTTCTTGCTCTTCAGTCTGTAAAACAGCTGTATTTGATTCTTCTTTGTTTTGCCCTAAGACTGTGATGATTTCGCTGTGAGATTTTTTAGACACCAACAACAATTATAAATAAATATAATGTTTTAATGTGTGCTTAAATTATGCAAGGCATGATTCTGCATGCTGTACATGCATTACCTTATTTAATATTCACAGAAATCCTAATAAGGATGTATTATTATGACACTTATTTTACAGCTGTGGAGAAACTGTCAATATAATTTTCTAATGTCTCCTGTCTTATAAGTATTATTAGACATCAAGTCCAAAACTTTTACAGATCTCAAAGCTCACTCACACAATCATCCATCATGGGGGCTCAGTGCTCTCTTCTATGCATCCATCCACACATATCTTGGTCTCTTCTAGTGCATGGATAAATGGGAGGAGAACTTAATTTTCAACTGTAGCTATAGAAGAAGAAGTGTTTCTCATGCCATATTAAAGTCAGTTCAATAAAACTAGTATTAGTTAATTTGCTAAGATATTTTATTTCCCTTAAGCATCAAAATCACCTTTTACATGTATCTAGCAGAATGTTCTTACTATATTTTCTTCCACTTTCATGGGTTCAAGTGTGAAAAGTATGCAAGAAAGCTGCAGCTGGGCTTAAAACTCTCATTTTATATGTGTGGTTCTTTTGATCCTCCAGTGAAAGGCCACAGAAGGAGCAAGCATGAATTTCTTTATTTTGAGAAAAATTCAATCCCCACTTGCCCAGTAGATTTGAAAAATCCAGTTAAATTCCCATATAGGGTAGTAATATTTTCAGTAATGTTCATGTAGATTATCTCTTTCTTTGAGTTGAATAGAAACTGCTCTGTGATATGGGCAAAATATGTATCAAACCATATAACTGGTCAGAAATGAAGAAAAAATATGTCATTATAAGGGTATCACTCTCTTTATAGGAAATAAAGGTAGAGAGGTTGATGACATAATGCAGACAAGAAATTGCACTTACATTCTGAGTGGCTTTCTCAGATAATCTCTGGAGGCTTTTTAAGAATTAAAACTTCTTAATAGCAACAACAAACTTCAGCTACTTTGGTTTAGATTTTAAAACAGAAGTTGATTTAGCATTTTAGATCTCTAGTGGAAATTGCTTCTACATTTATGAAAGGTGTTGTTAGAGGCAGGCATACCATAGGACCAAGAGCTGCTGATCCAGGCAAAGAGTTTTACAGTTTGCAGGAAGTCACAAAGATGCGTCCATAACAACTGCAGGAATTCACCAACCCAATCTGTGAGAGGTGGAAACGGGAATTTAAACACATGGTTATTAGTGTAGAGAGCGGTTTGCACAAGTATCTTGGAACTGTCCTTATCTATTCTTTTCGTTGTTATTGCTGCTATTTTTATAGAGCCCCAAGTGTAAGTGTCCAGAGTACCTCAAAGGTGATGTGAAACACAATGAAACAAAACACCTCTTGCAAATTCAACCTTGTGGTTATGATTTCAAGTATTACATCTGTTCTAACTAGCTCATAAGCAGATATGGAGCCTTATGTAATAAAATATCATAGGAGTTAGTTGCATTATTCTCAGTCTCACTAAAAATAACTGTACTTGACGGTTTGAGTAGCTTTTGTGAACACTGAATATTTTTAGGAGAACATGAAAATTAGAAGAGGCTTTCTAAATATTTCTTAGTAAAATTTACTTAACGAACAATAAGGAAAAAAGACACTTAGATAAAGATAGAATAAATAAATAAATAAATAGCTTGATGTTCACATTTGGATGAAGCAATTCTCTCACATTGATAGAATAAAAGCATAAATGTGGAGCATCTTAGGTGTTGGAATATTCAATTCTAATACATAGAATTCTCTATGCTTATGAGGTGGGGTGGAAGAGAAGGAGGAGGAGGAGGAGGAGGGGAAGAAGAGGAGGAGGAGGGAGGAGGAAGAGCAAAGACAATTATGGAAGTAAAGAATTGATATCAGTAAGAATTAGACAGAGAAATTTTATATTAACTTACCTTATAGGAGATGGAAACAGGACAATAATATTTAGTATATAAAATGTTATCTTATTTAAGCCTAATAATTTATAAAATAACGAATTAGACTATAATCACACTGAGGAGAGGGGCCCTAGTGATCTGCCAGCATAAAGTTCATCACAAAATAGGTAAAATTAGTGATTACCTAATGCTTGTCAAGGAACATGGGGATAATAACTTGCTGCTTAAATCCCTGCAAATCTAGTTATCTTTAGACTAAGCTTAAAGTTTCATGGTAAAGAATATTTTCAACAAACAGTGCTTACACAACTGGACATCTGCATTCAAGAGGATGAAGTTGTACACTTACCTCACACTATATATAAAAATGAACTCAAAATCAATCAAAGACCTAACTATAAGAGCAAAAACTATACAACTCTTAGAAGGAAACAGGTGTTCTTCATGACCTTGGATTAGGCAATGGTTTCTTAAATGTGACACCAATAGTAGAAGTAATATAAGAAATAGAATAGGTGAATTAGACTTCATCAAAATTCAAATGTTTTGTGTTTGTAAGATACCATAAAGGTGGTAAAAAGGCAACCTACAGAATGGGAGAAAAATTTTATTAGTAAAATATTTGATATTTTTACCTAGAATATATGAAGAATATTTATAACTCAATTATTTAAAAAAGACAGATAATATAATTTTTAAAAGTAGAAAGCATCTGAATAGACATTTCTCTAAAAAATATATACAAATGGATAGAACCCATGGACATGGCGAACCAGGTTATCAAGTGCAAGGCTGCAGTTGCCTGGGAGGCTGGAAAGCCTCTCTCCATAGAGTAGATAGAAGTGGCACTCCCAAAGGCTCATGAAGTTCGAATCAAGATTGTTGCCACTGTGGTTTGCCACACTGACACCTATATCCTGAGCAGAGCTGATCCTGAAGGTTGTTTTCCAGTGATCTCGGGAAATGAAGGTGCTGGAATTGTGCAAAGTGTTGGCGATGGAGTCACTAAGCTGAAGGCGGGTGAGGTGACACTGTCATCTCACTTTATATCCCACAGTGTGGAGAATGCAAATTTTGTCTAAATCCTAAAACTAACCTTTTCCAGAAGATAAGAGTCACACAAGGGAAAGGATTAGTGCCAGATGGTGCCAGCAGATTTACTTGCAAAGGAAAGACAATTTTACATTACATGGGAATCGGAACACTTTCTGAATACACAGTTGTGGCTGATAATCTCTGTTGCTAAAATAGATCCTCTAGCACCTTTGGATAAAGTTGGTCTCCTAGGTTGTGGCATTTCCACTGGTTATGGTCCTGCTGTGAACACTGCCAAGGTGGAGCCTGGCTCTGTTTGTGCCGTCTTTGGCCTGGGAGGAGTTGGATTGGGAGTTACCATGGGCTGCAAAGTGACTGGTGCATCGCAGATCATTGGTGTGGACATCAATAAAGATAAATTTGCAAGGGCCAAAGAGCTTGGAGCCACTGAATGTATTAGCCCTCAGGATTTGAGTAAACCAATCCAGGAAGTGCTCATTGAGATGATGAGCACTGATGGAGGAGTGGACTATTCCTTTGAATGTACTGGTAATGTGAAGATCATGAGAGCAGCACTTGAGGCATGTCGCCAGGGCTGGGGCATCAGTGTGGTGGTTGGAGTAGCTGCTTCAGGTGAAGAAATTGCCACTCATCCATTCCAGCTGGCAACAGGTCACACATGGAAAGGCATTGCCTTTGGAGGATGGAAGAGTATAGAAAGTGT